CTTTGTGAAAGTCTGTAAAATATTGTAAATTCATTTTCAATTTTTCAATAAAGACATGCCATTGTGGCATGATTGTGAGTTAAAAAAAAAAAAAAAAAATTATAACAAATATATTTTTTAATGATTCTTGTATAATTTTTTTCCTTTTTATTTTATTTTCTTGAATTGAATATTCTATTAATAATTGTATATAAATAAAAACATGTCATTACAACATTTATATATATAATATATAACAAATCTTTTTGGAATTTTTTGAAATACATATTTTACTTATAAATTAATAAAATTATTTAAATTATTTAAAACTTTATAATATATTTTTTAAAGTATAAATATAAAAAAATATAAAAAAAAATATTAAAAATATTATATAATTTATTTTTAAATTTAAATTTTAAATTTATAAACAGAAAATTTTATATAGAAAAAATTTTTATTAAGTTATTTCATATAAAAATCTTAATTAATTTTGTTTTTTTAATTATAAAAAAAATATTTATAAAATATGTTTAAAAAAAACTCTTTCCACTGATCTTCTAACCATACATAAAAAAAATGTTCGCAAGAAGTTTTTGCACTTCTTTGCTGATAAAGTATTAACACTTTCCTTAAAACAACTTGAAGTATGACTTTAAAAGTCACTTATATTTTTTTCCTATTGTTTATAAACCTTTTCATTCAAAAACTTGACTTCTAGTGACTAAGAAAAGTCAAGTATTACCTTTGATATTAATGGTAAGAAAGTTTCCAAAGGAAGAAGAACTGATTGTAAAGTACCTGAAGGTCTTTCTAACCTTTAAAGTAAGAAGTTTATAAAGATTTTCTATAGTAAAAAGGTTTATTTTCTCTCTTTTTGACTGTTTTGACCCTCTTAGAACTCACATGTTTATAGTTTTCTGAGAAATTTTGCCTATCTCAGTATGAGCCTGAATTTTGGATAGCACAAATTCTTACCAAAGGTATTGACTGACATGAAACATATCAGTTTTTGAAATATAAATAAGCTCCTATTGATCATACTCATATGTCTCGATATACTGTATTATTGATGATATAGGAAAGAAAGTTTTAAAAAAAGTGTTCTCTCCAATCATATATATTCAACCTCCAGGAAACAATTATGATACTGAAAGGTGAGTGATGGGTACGAAAAGAAAATTCAACTTTTATTTCTTATAAGTTTCTCAGATAGTGAAAAGGTTTTCTTGAACAAAAACTGAGGTCTCCAAACTTCTATCTTAATTAGACAAAGTTCTTGAAAAGATTTTTTTATTCCAGCTAGGCAAACTCTTCCATAATATGTTATTGATTTTACTAGTAATAAACGAATCTATATATTAGTAGAAGAATAAATTTTTTAAATATTCTTCTTGAAATCACTTTCAGGAATAATTAAGTTTCTCAAATATTATGAAGCTTAGAGAATATTTCAATCAGGTAAACCCCTTTTGAGAAGAAACTGTAAAATAAAGCAAGAACCTTTTGGAAGATTTTGAATTGTATTTTCTTTTTCCTTTTTCTCAATATTAATTTTAGCAATTTATTATTTTTCGGGATAATCAACAGCGATAAACTGTTGACAATGACCTTGATTGACTTAGAGAAATTATTGCCAAGCTATTAGGAAAGTGAGATATTGTCCCTAAATCTAACTTAATGTACTTAATTTAGACTAAGTTTTGTTTAATCTGAATTAACTTAATGGACTCTTTATATTTTTTAAGTAGTATAATCTTTTAACTAATAATATATAATAACAAGTTAGTTATTTTGTGAAAGTTTATAAAATATTTAGATATTTTTTAATATCTCAATAAAGACATACCATTTGTAAGGTATTTACAATAATTTATCAATATTTGATGAATTTTCTGTGAAGGTCTACAATGTGAACGTTTGTAATATAATTGTGAATTTAAAAAAAAAAAAAAAAAAAAATTATAAAATTTTATATAAAATAAATTTTTGTACTGATTTTATATATAATTTTTTTTGAAATTTAAATAATAAAACTTATATAAATAGTTTATTCTTTAAATAATTTTTTACAGTTTTGTTATACACTGCATATATGCTATAAAACCGGCAATTATTTATGGGCATGCACGTGATATCACAATTTGTAACTAGCAACTATACAAGAAAATCGGACGTAACCTTCCGTGGTTACTGCACAAACAAGTCTGAAACATTGTAGATTTAATTTGGATAGCCATACCGTGGATATGATTTGCATCTGATAATCGGTTAATTACACGGTTGACTTCAAAATATATTTTATATTAGTTAGTTACTAAAAATAATTACGTATTTTTTTTAAATCGAAAGATTGATCATTGACGCTAAATCTCATGTTGCTTAATAATCCCTAATTACAACTTCCCAAGCATCATTTTGTGCGTCCCACGTTCACGTTTTATATGAATAGGCCTTTCTCTTTACTAGTCAAAACTTCTTTTTTACCCCGACCTTTTAAATTACTTTCTTCTCGTTATTTCACAAAATTTTACAATATGTCTCATCCTTTGATTAATAAACCAGTTCCAAAAAACGTAATCTTGAAAAATCAAGATAATGAAGATGTTTCTCTAGATTCGCTCATTATCGTTGGAAAACCTGCCGTCGTATTTTTCTACCCAAGGGACGAAACTTATGGTTGCACTAAAGAAGTAAGAATTTTTCTAGCAATATGACATTAATATTTCCTCGTATTAATTTTTTTGCCGCTCCTTTCACCAATTTAAAAGGTTTGCTCTTTTCGCGATTCTTATGAGGACTTCTCCAAGGTTCATGCAACGATCGTTGGCATTTCGGCTGATCCGCCTGAAAGTCACAAAAAATTTATTCAGCGTCTAATGTTACAATTTCCGTTACTTTCTGACACAGAGGGTGAAGCTAGAAAAGCTTTTCAGGTTCGTATAACATATTTTAAGTCTAGTCTTTTTTAAAAATTCACTGTTTCCCGAAGAATATTTCTTTAAAAATAATAGGTTCCCAAGACTATGGGTTTTATGGCTGGTCGTGTTACTTATTTAATCGACAGAGAAGGATTAATTAGAGAATTATTTAATGCTCCGTTAAATTTTACAGGTCACGCCGAAAAAGCCATTGAATTCGTTAAAGCTCAAGCAGCAAATTAAATTTCAAATATTACGAGTTAAAATTTATATGAAACAAAAAGAATAAAAAGATTTTGTTTTCATTCAGGAGTCCATGCTAATGCAAATACAATAAAATTTTCTAATCAAGTGAATCCGGAAACATAAAGTATTAACGTTTCATTGATCCTAAGTCATGTTCGTTGAATCTACAATTGACTCGTGATATTGTTCGTTGTGAATATCGATCACGAGAACTATATGGACGCTATGGTGGCAAAACCGAGAGCCCACTTCAGGATTGACCTCTAAATGTGGGTGTCAGACGGAGTAGCATTGAAAAGTAGCGGATCATATTATTACCATTATTATTATTTTCATTTCTCGTTTACCCTAACAAATTTCCAGAAGAAACAGTAGGCCTCTGTTGGTATGCCTGTTGCGTTGACCCAGATCCATTTATTATTTGAGGTCTGGAAGGTTGTGATGGAGTCTGGCTACTTGTCCCAGATGTATAGCCCCCATACACACCTGAAGGAGGTACCATTTGTGTTGGCAAACCGCTGCTTTGTCTTGGAATCGCACTCGCAATTTGTTGAGGTGAACCCGCAACTATTGGTGCCCTAATTGCCATGATTGGTTGAGGCATGCCAATCGGCCGGATATCTGCAAAGAGGCGATTTGGCAAGCTTTGGTTCTTCTTTGCCTGAGCCGCCAGTAGTCGTTCTAAAAAATTAACAAGTTTATAAATGCTCATTATAATTAAGTATATTCACCTGATTGAATTTACCTGCAGCACTGCCGTGTCTCTCGCCTTTACCATCCTTTTTGAATGCATACGACACAGTAATTGGTTTATTCATTAAATATTGACCATTCATTGCGTCAATTGCTGCGTCAGAAGAGTCAAAATTGTCATATGAGATAAACCCATATCCTTTGCTATTGCCTGTATCGGGATCTCTCGCAATCTATTAAAAAATCGAATCCAAAACAAATTACAAAGTCAGTATAAAAAATATCAGGTGAGAAAGCTGAAGAAGTTATTTTTTGATGTGAACACCTTTGGTGTCTGTACAATCACTCCAAATGCGCTAAATGTATCGTATAACATTTTTTCGTCTACATCGGGATCCAAATTTCCGATAAACAATGACGCCCCAACGTCCAGATTTTTCTTATCCGAAGTTGCCTATTGAACAAAAGCGTGCATTAAGTCAACAGTTCTTAGTTGACCGAATACAAATAAACATACCTTGTTAACTCGTATTGGTTTTCCATAAAGTTTTATCTGGTTCATTATTTTAATCGCATAATCAGCATCATCTTCGCTCATGTACTCACAAAACCCGTAACCTTGATGCGTTTGGGTAACGCGATCTTTCGGTAAGTGAACGTTAACTGCGAAGAAAAAGAAGGATTAATAAATAATTCCATCTTAATAAAACCTTGCCTGAATTGCTATATATAGGAAAACTCACCTACAGGTCCTGCTTGGAGCATCAACTCCCAAATCAGGGCTTCAGTACAACGTTCATCCAGGTTACCAATGTAAACGGTCGCATCTTGATTTCTTTCTTCAGTTGGTCGTGACATTTTTTTTGATCACGAAAAAATTCTTGAAAAATTCTAATTTATATATTTGTTTCACGTGATTATTGTATGATTATCAATCTTACTGGTTATTTTCAACTGAACAAGTTCTTGAAAAAATAATTATAATATCAAAAGGTAATATAATATACTGACTTGATTCTTTAATCAAATACTTAAATAATTAAAAAAATTTTTTTATCTCAATTTTAATAAATAAATTTTCTTATAAATCTATAATATAGTAATAATATTTCTATTAATCTTTTGATTATAGATATTTACAAGAAATTTTTATATTTCTTTGTTAATAAAATCTTAGTACTTTCCTTAAAACAACTTGAAGTGTGACTTCAAAAGTCATCTCTATTCTTTTTTTTTATTATTTACAAATCTCTTTACTAAAAAATTTGATTTTCAATAATAAAAAAAAATCAAACAATATCTTTAATACTAATGATAAGAAAGTTTTCAAAAGAAAAAGAATCAAGTATAAAATACTTAAAGATCTTTTCAACCTTTGAAATAGATGTTTATAGAGATTTTATATAGTTAAAAATTTTATTTTTTTCTTTTTGAATTATTTTAATTTTTTGATTTTAAATTTTGGATAACACAAATTCTTATTAAAAGTGATTGACTAATATAAAATATATTAATTTATAAAAAAATAAATAAACTTCTATTGATCATATTTATATAATTTAATGATATTAATGATAATATCAAAAGAAAATTTTAGAAGATATTTATTTTTAATTGAATAATTTTTCAATAAAATAATCATAATATCAAAAGATATTGCAAAAAAAAAATATAAATAAGTTAACTTCTCTTCTTATTTAAGTTTCTCATGTAATAAAAAGGGTTTTTTAAGAAAAAAAAATTGAGATCTTTTATTTTCTTGAAATATTTTAATTTAATATTTCTTAAATAATAATTTATTTATAATATTATAAATAATAACAAAAAAAAAATGACTTTTAAAGCTTAAACAAACCATAAAAAATATTTTAATTAAGCAAATTCTTTTTTAAAAAAGATTATTGATTAGATAAAAAAAACTTTTAGAAATATTTTGAATTAATTTCTTTTTTCTTTTTTTCAATTATTTTAAACAAGAAGTGTAAAATATAACTACTGTTAAGTAAAACAGGTGTTTTTAAAGAAAGTTTTAAAGTTTTATTACTCTCAAAATATAAAGTTTTGGAGGAATGCTTCTTTGAAAGTGGTGGTCAGGAATCTATAAGAAAGAGTTTTCCTATTTTTATTATAGATTAAAAAATATATATATATATATTGTATATATAATAATAATATTTTTAGATTACTAATAATAAGATCCTAAATAATTAGTGATCAATAGATTCTTTCTACTGATCTCTTGACAACATATAAAAAAAACATTCACAAAAAAGTTTTATGCTTTTTTGCTAATAAAGTCTTATTGTTTTCTTTAAAACAACTTGAATAATAACTTTAAGAGTCGCTTTCAACTTTTCTCTTTTATTTATATTTCTTTTTAAATAAAAATTTGATTTTTGATAACTAAAAAAAGTCAAGAAACATTTTTTTTACCTATGGAAAGAAAGTTCTAAAAGAATGAAAAACCAATAGTGAAGTATTGAAAGCCTATCTTCTGAAGCAAGAGTATAACTAAAGGTTTTATGCAGCAGATAAATGAGTAAACAAAAGCCTAAACCATAAAACTTTCCTTTCTACTGTTTTTACACTCTTAGAATCATTCATTTTTCAAAGTTTTTGAGAAATTTTACCTATTTCAACTTGATCCTAAATTTTGGAGTAACACAAAATCGACATAGCTTTTGCTAAAGGTAATTGATCAATATAAAATATATTGATAGTAGAATGCAAACAAGTTCTTACTAATTACATCATGTGTCCTGATAATATTATTGAAACATAGTAACAGATATCATATTAGGCCTTGTGATATCCAAATATAATTAATTCTACTATTGCTTGTGGCATTCTATCATATTATAATTTTATTTTTGCCTTTCCATACTGCTTAAGTATCTATAAAATCTCATTTATCCAGAAAGTTGAATAGAGGGATTTCAGGATGCCAAGAAGATCTGAACCTAATCTTGAATAGTATTGTTCTATCTTTTGATAAATTATGGGTAGTATTGAAATCACTCATTACTATTATATGAAAGCTTTGTCTCTGCTTTCATTTGATAAGACTGATTAACTTCTATACCTTTTTATATCATTGTTTGTCTGAAGAAATGTAAATCTGTATAATACAGACTTTTTCCTTTTTTATGAGAAAGTTGGTTGCTATTATATAACCTTCTTTCTCTTTTATCGATGCTATTTTCTTTTTCAAATCTTTCCTGATTAGAAAGCCAATCTTTGCTTCAAATGGTATATCTTTATTGATACTATAAAAATACTTATAGGTTTTTTGATTTTTAAAAACCCATTTTACATTGGTTTGGCTCAGCTTAATTTCGTATATTCCTATTATACCTATTCCTTGATTCTGTATCTCTTCAATAAGACTTTATTGATTTGTCTTATCTATTATACCTTTAATATTGTATGTACCTATTCTTATCACTTTTTTCTTGACATCTTTTTCTATTCATTTTGTATTCTTTATTTGTTTATTTATGTTTTGACTTCTTAAAAAGGTAATATACTTATTCTATAGATATTTATTTATATTTAGATCACTCCTTTGTTCTATAGTTTCATCTGAATTTATAATTCATACTTTGTCCTTGTTATAAATCTTT